GGAAAGTATTAGAGCATCACATGAGGTTCAAAACCCATAACCTACTCTCCAACTTCTTCCAGGTGAGAAATAGAAATGACTGTCTCAATTAAAATACTAACCTATTAAATTAAGAATTAAATTAAGAATGCAGGTTGAAAGAGGTGAGGTGATGTGATATGGGGTGGGATTGCCCTACATGTTATGATATGACCTGGCTACATCACTATCGTCAGGATGGACAAAATGGAAGACATAATATAGTTTTTTTTTTTTCTTAATTTATTGTGCTTTTCAGTGTTACTAAATTGCAGCACTGCAGATCTGATCAGGCTTGCAGAAAAATGAAGGAACAAGTAAGTACCATTAGTGTGAAAATGGTATTAAAAAGGTAAGACAATGGCTAGCAGAGGAGGAAATAATGCTAATCTAAAGAGGACACTTGTGGTACAGAAAACAGAAAAAAATGCAAAAGTGGAGCAAACTCCACAGAAGTCTGGTACAATACAAAACTTTCCACTGTTAATATTCTGCCCCTGAATACACCACCTTCCCATGCAAAGCTCTTTGGAAATCTCTTTTATATGTTTTGGTGTTATTTCTGGTTCATTTAATCAGAAAAAAAAAAATGCACTAACTGAAGATTTTTAAAGTGACCTGAGAGAACTGTTTAAAGATTTTCTTAGGTTTACTGTTGTGGCAGATGTACCAACGGATGAAAAAGGCCGTTGCAAACTCCCAAAAGCTGTAAAAGAGTTACGTTTTCTTGCGCAGACATTCAGTGACAAATAGAGGAGGGAAGCTGAGGATTTAAATTCTCTCTAATAAGACTGAATTTGTTTAGTGTCCTGGGTTCAGCAGTAGCAGTCATGTTTTTTTCCTTTGTGTTAACTGGTGCATTGCTGTGTTTTGACTTCTAGTTTGAGAGCAGTGCTGGTGAAGCCGATGTTGTCGGTTGTTGCTAAGTGATGTTTACCCTGACCAAGGACTCTGTGAGGCTCATGCTCTGCCAGGGAGGAGGGGAAGCTGTGAGGAAGCAGAGACGGGGCGCCTGACCCGGGCTAGCCAGGGAGGTATTCCATACCACAGCACGTCATGCCCGGGGTGGGGGGTAACTGGGAGTTACCCGGAAGGACAGGAGCTTCCGGGTGGAACTCGTTTTCTTGGCCGGTGGTATCGTATTCTCTTCCCTTGTTATTTTCCCTTATCATTGTTTTAGCTGATAGTAGCGGTGGTGATTTGTTGCTGGACTGTTCTTGTCTCAACCCGTAGGAGTTGCACTCTCTCGATCCTCCTCCCCGTTCCTCCGGGAGCGGGGAAGGGGAGAGCCCCGGTGCAGGGGTGGGGGGGGGAAGACGGACACGGACCTTGATTGTTGTCAGCTCGGCACCACTCACTGGGAGTGAGTGAACAAGTTACCTGACTGGGTCTAAACCACGACATTTAGAAAAAGTGAAATTTAAAAGAGCACTGTTTCCCAGGCAGAATGTTCTCTACAATAAAAACACTGGAACAGATTATCCGAATGCTACATAGGCTTGCATGCGACTTGCATGACACAATTGATTCAGTTGTCATTATATAGAGAAAAAAAAATTGTAGAACTGAATTACCTTTTTACTATAAGGTTAATCAATGTGAAAACCACTCAAATCATTATAACAACGATGGTGTTTATAGTACATGCATCTCCAAGTGCAAGACTCTGAATAGGGAGACCAGCGTCTCTTCCTGCAACTAAAGACAATGCTCAGAAAAAGTTGCGGTCAAATATAATATGAAAGTCCCAATGCTTGAAGATCTACTTGCTTGCCTCTTCGTTTTGCCCACTGCACTGCTGCAGGACTAGTGCTTTGCTGTAAATCCAAGTATTCTGCATAGCTTCTCCATATTTACTTCTTAAAGACTGATTGTTAGCTATATAAGTGCGCTTGTTTTTGCCTCTAGCAATAAGCTGAGCTTTTTGGCTACACCTCATCATGGATTGTGTAGGCTGATCATTTCCTTCTTTCAAAGATTCTTTTCAATAACTAGACAAACTCTAATGGATATTGACCGTTGTATAGTAAATCCACTACTAAACCTTACAGTAATGATTTAAGATATACTTTCACCTTGGATAAGTCTAGTATTTCAAGATTCAAGTGTGATCAGAACTCATTTAATAACTTTGTACTTTGTCCTGTTTATAGCTCTACTCCAAAATTAGTTTTTAAAAAAGAGATATCTAAATCATGATCTGGTAAAGGTCATGGTTTCACAGTTACTTTATTTTTCCCCAAATTCACAGTTCTACTACGAGTTCTTTTTCCCTCACCCACGCTCCCAGGCCAACCCTCACCCCACCTTGTGCAGTAGCACTAGTTTCCAGTAGTAAACCAGTAGGAATCCAGCTGAATATGGTCCCTGGGGAAGGTGCAGCGCTAAGCAGGGTCGGTTCCCTAGTCTGGCTCTCCATGCAGACATGCAAATGGCAATGCTGGCCAAGGAAGGCCAAACAAAGGCAGGGCAAAAAGCTGTATTGATTTTTCTTTTTTGCAAGAGCCTGGATTTATATTTGTGCAAAGTACACATAATAACTAACTTTGTTGTTACAAGGGAGGTTATGCTGATTTTACAGGCAGTGTGGGGTCTGGGAGCGTCTCAAATATTTTTCTTCAGGACATCGCTACATAAAACTTAGGGGTCTGCATGTTTGCAATTTAGTTGGTGAGGGTCTGAAAAAGGCTTATTGTCAAAAAAAAGTAGTCACCTTCTGTCCGCCGCCCCTCATTTTACCCATGCATCCTTCTTTACCTTTTCCTATATATGCAGCTGATGAAATGCCAGAGATATTTTTTTGTGTGTGTCACAAGTTCGTAGGAGAACACAATATCATGACAAAATAAACTGCTAATTTTTTATATCCACTGAAAGGAGTTTAAGTGCCTTGCTTTCTTGGAAAAGAACTCATTCTTTCCCAAGTGAAAATTGAATTGTGTTGGTGACAACTACTTTCCTATTAAATTACTTCTGCACAGTAAGATTTAAACTAAGGATAGCTTTGCATAACAATCCACTACACACTGAAATTTATGAGAACAGTTATTGGTGACTGAGGAGGTGGTAAAAGTCTTGATCCTAAATGAGGATAAAATTTGCATTTGTCAATAAGACTGAACCAAAGTTAGAATTCAGGTTTAGGCTAAGGCCCAACACCCTTGAATTCTGAGATCTTGTCTCAGCAAAAGTGTTTCAACAAAAGGGTTACAAAATTAGATGTTCATATCACACTTCTTAGCTTAACAATATGGAGTCCCAGTCACAGGCAAATCAACTCCTCAAACTGGGATCGGGATCAAATAAGTGGAGAGTGGAAATGTTGATCAAGGAAACTATTACTGCTTTTCAGCCACATAAAGAAAGATTCTAGATAGCTTGAAAAGTGTTCATAAAGCACGCTCTCTCACTTTGAATTCTTAGCAGGTAGTAATAAATGGCAATCAGAGGTTTTGATAAATTACAGAATCAAAGGATGCTGAATCACTCTTTATATGGCACAAATCATATTTTACAAGTAAGATATTTCCTGGATTAAATAGCCAAGATGCTGCAGTCATGTCAGCTTCTCCTAACTGACGCCTTCTGCAGAGCTTAAAATTTCCCGGATTGGATAAAAAGTACCAAAAAAACCTTGTTTACCTCAGACACCCCTTAATAGCATCTGCCTTGTATATTGTTGTCTGAAATTCATCAAAGCTGAGTGCCTGACCATGTGGTTGACAGGAATTTTGTAAAAGCCTGTGGTTCAGACAAGGAATTCTGCTTTTCTTTATAATGTATTCAGCTATTCCATCTATGCCTTTGAAATATGTTTATGCCTACTGAAATTATTTTAGCTATTAAATGTTAGTAAATGGGATTGATTTGGGCGCAGTGTACAGGATTGAGGACTTGCTCAGACACACACTAGCCTGTAAACTAGCCTTCAGCACTGACTCCATTCACATCAAAGGACATATCCCATGTAACCCACAACAAAAGACAAAGATATTCTGAAATCATCATTCTTCAGAAACTTTTTGAGTCCTTGAATTCATTCTCCCTTAAAAAGGTTTGCTTAGAGGTAGGCCCAAAGCTGCACCACATGACTGCTACTAAAGAAATTTTCCATATACATTTAAAAACAAGTATACAAATTGTATTCATTTAACAGTCACTGCTTTCTCAACAGTAAGTTCAGGTTCTCAAGTTTAGTGGCTATTTTAACCTGAAATCATCAACACTAACTGCTCTAAACATTACACAATATTAAATATTACATTATTAACATTTATATACACTATTAATGACCTAACAATAGAAAGTCATAGAATTATAAAAAATACAACTTGAAGGGATCTTGAAATGTCATGTCATCTGTTTCCCTGCTAATGATGGGACTATTGTACTTGATACACAGTTCTCCAGCTCCTATTACAAACCTCCAAAACTGCCCCAAGCAAAGAAGATTTTATTCCATTGTTACCTTCTTTAGCACTAAAAACTTAATTCTAACATGGAATCACAATCTTTCTCTATCTTGAACTAATCAATTCTTTTTTTTGCTAATTTTTGGCATGCATGACAGAATTTTCTTATACTTAGAGACGATATTATGTTCTATTATGTTCTAAACCCTCGTCTCTTTTTCAGGCTCATTTCTTCCCCTCCAAACTGCAATGGCAGGGACAGGTCGATTCCATTTCTGGCTATTCTCACATGTCTTCTTGAGTTTCTCCTGGACTCTCCTCCTGAAGATCAACTTACAGACCCTCTTTGCTTCACTACAGGTGAAACTGATGTGAATAGTGCATCTTTAGGAACGGGAAAGTATGTTCAGGACACTGTCAGTTGAAGCTACTTCACCTCCCAGAATTTGTGAGGTGAAAACAAGAGCAAGACATGTAGACAGTAAGCAGCTATCAGATAGCAAGGTAACAACAAGCAGGTGAGATGAATGACTGTCAGGGAGTTCAAGTACAGCCAATCTTTTCTTGCAGGCTGTGGGACTGGCAGGCAGCAACCACTTCATAGCCCCCTCCTGCATTGCTGCTCACTGACCTCCATGGGTGCAGACATGCATTGTGCTGCAAGGCCTCAGCCCCCAGAACCGATGGAGCCAATATTTTCCCAAAGATGCACAGGGTAAGAAGAGAGGCAAATAACAAAAGCTGCAGCAAGGAAGGATCAAGAAATTCATCTCTCTGGCACACCCCCCAGAAATGCAGCAGTGGAGCAGGTCACCCAGAAAAGTTCTACATGCTCCATCCTTGGAAGTTTTCAAGATAAAGCCCTGACCCCAGATCTGGCCTTATTTCAGTAGAGACCTCATGAGGTCCCTTCCAATCAGTTACTAAAGCTGTCTTTAATTTTTCTATTGCTGGGTGGAAACTAATTATTATCTACAAAAACTAGCGCTAAAGTCAGATTGGGTAGAAAGTACTGTTACTATTACTGAATTCAGGTTAAGCATTTTGCTCAATGATTGACCACTTAGTGTTTGTACTGCTGTTGGGCAGGTATTGCTGGTTTCATATATAGCCTTACACATACAGATTATGCTTGCCAGTCATACCCTGGAGCCATGCCCACAGGCAGATGAATTACACTACATTATATGACAACTAATCCTCTTCAGGAAGTAAAACAAATAGCTTCAAAAGTGAATAATACTTTATATTCTTTCATAAAGCACCCATAATTTATTGCAACTAAAGTGAAAATTTAGCACCAAAAGCATTCCATAGGGATATCACAATAAAATTATCTTTCACATCATGTCGTAACTCAGCCATGATGTATATTGTGTGAGCTGTACCAAGGCTGTCTGATGATTTTTGCTTCCTCCATCAGCAACAGCAAAAAAATACAATTCCAAATTGTATGCACAGGTATTAGATGGAAAACCAGATTTAGATTTTATTCTTTCCCACTGCTTATTTTTCTACTTACAGATTTTCTTTAACAATGAAAGAATTGTAAAAGTCTCAGACACTGAAGGAATAAGCTGCTCAAAAAACCTATGTTTTTCTTACTATAAAAACATCTCATACGGATACACCAAGGTGAGGAAAAAATATTAAAGGAAACAAAAATCATTAGAAATATTGATGTGACAGATTATTGTGTATCATACCTGAATTCTTAACACATTTATCGAAAAAAACACAGGCTGTGTTTGCACTGTCAACTAAGACAGCAGTAAGGAATAAATAAGCAGTAAATGACAGCCTGAGCTGAAACCTGATCCCCCATTTCCAGGGAAAAAGCTAACGATCAGTGTGCTATTTGGACTTGAGTCCAGCTGAGACTGGACTGTAGCCACCACCTTTTCTTTTTAGTTTCTGAGTTTCAGCTGGGCTGCAGCAGGTAACAGCATTAGAGCTCAGCTCTAACAGTCAGCATCAGAACGAAGGAAGGAAAAGTGCTGTGCTCTGCTCTGGTCCCAGGGGGCTCCTGCCTCCCAGCTGAGCTTGAAGCACGGCTATGTGCCTGTATATCTCCCCTCTGTTTTGGGGACCTGATGACTGAGAGCTTCCCTTCACAGCTGATGCCTCCCAGGAACAGAAGGGGAGAAATGCCTGTCTCTCAGAAAGGATATGCTGCTCAAATTGAATTCAGACGGTCAGTCTGTGTCAATGTGTCTGTCCACAAAGGACCAAGGGACTACAGTTAGGAGCCTGACAATTTAAATGAGAGGTGAGGTTGGTTACAAGTTCTAGTTCTTGACTAACACCCAACATATCTTATTGTAAATATGAAACAGTGATGCAGGAGATTTATATATATATATAAATATATAAATATATATATATATAAAATTTATATAGAGAGATAAAAGGGGGGGAGGAGTGAATGGATACAGAAGTTAATGTTAGTTCCAAATGTGGCTTTACCAAATAGGAGGTTTTAGTTCAAGAGTCCTCTCAAAGAGGAGACAGAATAAAAAAAGACAAACATGTCACAGACAGGATTAAATTGCATATTTTAACTATGGTTTAACAAACTTCCATTCCGAGCTCTTTCCCAAAAGAATTATTGGGGTGAATAGGATTTCATTCTTACAAAACAGCTTGAAAACATTTTTACGACTTAAGTGTAATATGGTTTTAATTATTTTCAAACTTTTTTCCTCACCTGAATCTGTATTTCTTGCTGGAAGTCAAGACTTCAGTAACTAAAGAATTCCATTAATTATGGCTAGAAATGTTACAAAATCTCAGACCACGTTGCAAAGAAAATATTGAAAACAAATATAACATTTGGGAATGTACTAGATTTGTAGTAAGATTTTACTCTGAAAGACTAATTTTGAATGAAATTGTAAAAATAAACTCTAGTCCTGGAATGAGAGTTGGAAAAAAAAAATACAGGGAAAGAAAACTCATTCTGAGTAAGAAGAATGATACGAAATGAAAGAACAAGAAGCTTGAAGTTACTCCAGCATGAACAAAATGACAGTATTGTTGATGAGCACCTTGCTATGATCTTGGCACTGCATTTCTGGTGGATTTTAACTGAACAAACAGGCAACTATAAACACTCAAGCAGGATGCCACTAACAATGAACAAGCTGCATTGTAAAAAATTGGAATAAAGCAGATGGAATAAAAGTCATGCTTGCCAAGAAGGCAGGATGTAAATGGCCTTGAAGAAAGGAACATTCAAGACAGAAAAAATAAAAAAGAATCTCGAATTCAGCATTTTGGATTTTCTGTTATTCTTCACAAGTAGCCTCAAGTTTCATGTGATCAGTGATGTGTAAAAAAGGTAGGTTCAGAGATGTACATCAAATATTGAACATTACCATTTTGAGAAGGTATTCAATAAGGCTATTAGGTTGGATATGTTGCAGGGAAAATTTATTAATCTGGATGGAATTGTACCTGTTTTGAAAACTCAGGATGGTGTGATTGCCATTTCTTAGCGACACGGATACTATATCAACAGTTCAGGTTCAAGAAAAATAAATAGAGCAAATTACATAATTTGTTCAAGCATTTTCAGAAATGCTAGCTTGCCCATTGCCTTATTTATCCTGCTTCAGGCCACTGGAAAGATCTTAACCAATCTCTAGTGAAATATTAAACTGAGTTTCTGCAAAAAAACACGTTTCTTGTGAAGCATATATCTCAAAATGTGGAAATCATGGTTTTCAAGAGTGCTGTATGAAAACCTTGCTTCTAAATCTTCTTTGACTTTGTTTCCCTGACTCATTGAGTTATATGGTATGTTAGTCTGTATTGTGTCATTGAAAATGAGTCTGGCATTTGTGGTTCATTAATGGTTGAGCTAATGGTAGCAAAATCAGAAATGTAATGACCAATGAGCACACATTAATGAAGCAAGGGAATAGGGTAGTAGCTGTTGGTAATGCTAAGTCCTGCTTTGCATCTTTGGTCCTAAATAGAGTACAAACATAAACAAGAGGAAACAACAAACACTATTAAAGTTGCAAAAACTTAAAAAAAACCAAGTTGTATCAAACACTTAGGTATAATCACTAAGCTACAGTATGGCTTCAGGTGGAACACAGTTTGTGAAATAACAAGAACCGATGGCCTAAAGTAGATATATCTTTCTTTTTCAATTATTTCTCCCTAATTCGAGGTAGAATTTCTGTGAAAAAAACCTGAACCAACCAAACAACAACAAACCCCAACAACAAAATCAAAAACCCCAAACACCCTAAGATTTCTAGGTCAGAAAGAGTAAGTGGTAATTCAGCTTTTGGAAAATAGGAAACACTTGAATTGCACTTGAACAGTTCTCAGAGACTAGTTTATCAGGTTCTGCAAGTACGATAATGTGTAATCCATGCCCATTTCTATCAGATGAAGGCTAGTAGGAGAACCTGAAGAAAGTATCTGATTAATGTCTCATGCTAATAAACAGTGTCTTTCTGTTCAATTGCACATTAATACAAGGATGCAAAGAAGGTCTAAAGAAGTTGTGATGACCACAGAGGCAATCTAAAGCAATGAAATCAGTCACATTCAGATCACAATTAGGCAATGACAACCATTTAATAACACCAAGCCTAAGATCACCAGTGGCCTGTCAGTCTTGAGATCTAAGGGAAAGGAAACATTTGGGATGTTCTGAGCTTTCAGATTGTGAAGGCAGTCACAAGACTCAGGGAAGCATGGATACTGAGCAAGACAGGCTGGTCAGAAATGTCCACAGATGAGTCAGCTGGGCTTTTCAGGGGTATAGACATAGGCATTTTGGGCACAGAAGGAAAATTCTTGCCTTGTCTGATGTGCAAGATGGACCTATTGGATGAGTCATAGCTCTCCTGGTCTGAAAGTTAGTGTATGATTTAAGCCTCAGCTGACTACAGACTGAGTGAAAAATCAGCGAGTAAAGCAATGGGAAGGAGTATTTACAATTAACCCACTGATCACGACATTTACTGGGAGACTGACAGCTTCAAATAATGCAAAAGAGACTGTAAACTATAACTGCAAAAGTATGGAACAGATTATAGTAGATTCTAGAACTGATACAATTAAAAGATGTAAAAGTACTTTCTCTTTTGCTAACGAGCATCATGAAAAGGTCCTGGACAGGTGTTTGAAATCCAAATATGAGCTCCAAGAATTCATAGTGTTGTATTTTTGGATCAGTTAGAGCATGTCATTGAACCTGTGTGTTCCCATTAAATAACAGTGATGGTGCTGTATAAATTCAATGCATTTTGAGACTGGTGCTAAGTGGTGAAGCTACTGTGATTCTTGGGTTTATTGATAATATTAAGGATTGTGCCTCTTAGACGTTTATTTATGTCAAGGGTGGTAAGGCTGGAACAGATTGCCCAAAGAAATGGTAAATGCTCCATCCTTGGCAGTGTTCAAAAGCTCAGGTTGGGCAGAACCCTGGGTGACATGGTCTAGGGTGAGGAGTCCCTTCCCATGGCAGGGGGGTTGGAACTAGATGATCTTAAGGTCCTTTCCAACCCAAACCATTCTATGATTCTATGATACCCTAACAGACCTTATAAAATTAAAGTGTAAGAAATTGCAAAACATAAGAATGATCAATATTTCCTATAATTATGAATTAAATTTGAAATCCCAGCAATTAACCTGATTTTCACAAATCTTGTTTCTGTTCAAACTGCATTTGCAGTAGTTCAGCTCTGCAAGTTAACAGAATAAAATTATTTCCTTGCCATTTCTTCACAATTAGTGTTACTGAAATCAGTGAGTCTAGTCATTGAATATAATATAGTGAATTAAATTCAGATTGGTGAAACTGAGATATTAGAAAGTATTCAGGATCATATATACATATAAATAAAACAACTACTTGTAGAAATGGGGAAAAAAATAATGGGGCGGGTGGATGTCCAGATTCAGGGAACATTGGTAAACTGAATTACCCATGAATAATGTATTACCACAGGGTAGGAAGCAGACTATAAGCATCAGTGTTTCCCATCTGCATATTCCAGTTTAGCTAGACTGCAGTAAAGTGTTTAAAAGTTAAATCTTTCAAGCAAAATATTACGCTCATATAAATCCATAAATCTCAAATCTGGATAATCTTTTGCACTTGTATGGAAACATCTGATCATTCTAAGTTTTTCAGTCTCTTAAGTTGCACAAGCATATGCCATTTGAATTAAGCTTTTGTTTAAAGCAAAATAAAAATTAAGTTTCCACACTTTATTTCAGCTGGGCTGGCTTCTTTTCCAGGTGACTCATTTCCTTTTGCAACTATACAATAGGAAGCCTATAGTATGTCACTAAGAAGTGTCTGCTTACATATACAGAAAGGAAGTTTAATGAATCATGAAGCGATGACGCAGTAACAATTGCATGTCCTCATGCAAAAGGTATAAACCCACTACAGTATGTAGTAGAAATATTTGTTTCAAAGTCCGCCCTTAATGGAAGCATTTGTATGTTTACCTTATTTTCCTTTGTCATAAAGTAAGTTTTTTGTTGGTAAGAAGCTGAAATGCCACTCTTCATTTTAGATTCAATCCTTTGTTTTTCAGGATTAAAATCTGATTTGGTTTACTGTGATTCATACTTCAGAAATGTGATATTTAAAATACACCCTCAGTTGAACACAGAAACTTTGGGTAATGGGATATTTCTTGAACTTTTTTTTTCTTTGTTTCCCCCAAATATATATGTATGCAGACCCCATATTTAAAAGTGTTCCCTTGCTTCCATGCAGGCACAGTCTGAGCAGTATCACCGGTTGGTTTGAAATGCAACTGCAAAATTGCTAAAGTCCACCTTATTTGCCCTTTCAGATGCATGTTAACACTCAAAAATATCACTGTATATTTTGGATTTGATTTCCAGTCATTAGGAAAATGTCTATTGATTGTATCATCATATGTTGCATAAAACAGTAGGGCAACACTGTTTTTATGGATATATTCTTGACTGAAACTTTACTAATTTCTTTAAAAATAACAGTTCATTTTCTGTATGATGAAACAGTAACATTACTCTGTCTTAAAATTTTCTCTATGTTCCTAAATAACCATAGAGTTCTATGGTTATTTAGTTTTCATAAAGATAGAAATAACAAGATGTTTTGCTACACTTTAAAAAAACCCCAAACTTTTAGATGTATGGTTTCCTGGTACTAAAAGAAATAAACACTGTCACCACATCTTGTGACAAAAACGTAAAACATGTTTAAAGGTCGGCATAGCTTTTGCATGAAATATGTCTGCAGGGAAAAAAATTGCTTGAGAAGGGAGAATGAGACTTTTGGA